GCTTCTTCTTCGCCCCCCCCCCCCCCCGGTAGGAGGCAGATATCCCGGCAACCCTTTGGATCCCCTTTCTACGAATCGCTCAGTCCACACCCGCCTTCCCTCACCTTCCACCGCCAGGGCGGCCGGCGGGGCGAGGAGGGCGAGCAGGAGCGCCCAGAGGACCCGCGCAGTATGTCCTCTTTGCCTTCCTCGGGCGGACGGGACGGCGGGTCGCTCCATCTCCGGGACCCCAAGGGCCGGGCAGGCGGCAGTCGAAGAAGGAGTCACCCGCTCCGAAACCAGCGCCGAAACCAGACGGAGGTCGAGCTCTGCTTCTGCTCTCCCGGGACAGCGGCGTCAGAGGGAGGAGTGCGCCCGGGGAGACAGGGGTGAAGCTCCTTACCCACCCTGGAGGAGGGTGGGCCAATGGGAAAAAGGCACGGGCGCTGACCAGGCAGTTGCCAGGCGAAACTGCCCCGCCCCGGAGCCTCAGCAGGAGAGGGAAATGGGCGGGGTGGTGGGTGGGGAGGAGAACGGGAGCCGCTCCTCTCCTGCACCCGAGGAAGTTTACGTATTCATCTGTTTATTTTAATTGTAACTCACCGAAGGAGAGGAAAGGAGAGGTAGGTGATTTTAAATGATGGAGATGCTGCCATTCTCAGCACCAAAACCAAGTCCAGGGGAACTGTAGAGCTGAACGGGACCCGAAAGGTCATCGAGATTTACTACCCTGGCAGGAAAATCCATTAAATGCAGGGTTACTCAACCGCAGGAGATTAAGAGCAAAAGCGAAATCCGCCTCAGACTCTGAACTCCATATGAGGGGGACACTTTCTGTTCCACCGTGGCCAAAAAAAAGGTACCTCTGACAGGCATTCTTCACCGCTGCCTGGGTCCTTTAGCAACTGGGTACCAAGAGCCATAGAGCATAAACTGGAAAAAAATTACCCTCGAAAGAGAGAGCCTCCCAATGAAGTCTTGTGGCTGGGAGTTCCACGGGGAGTTCTTCTCCCCCCCTCTCCACCCGTGTGTCTGGGCGCGGGTAGATGAGTGTCTCGGCCCATGGGGGACACATTTGGGAGCCGAAGGTGGTGCTTCGCGCTTTGCTGTCCGGCCGCTGCTGCTTGGATCGGGCCCGGCTTCCCTCTTTCATTTCCCTGAATGCCGAGGCAGCAACCGGCGTGGGGACGCGAAACCGGAGCCGCCCCTTGGGCGTACCTTCACTTCCCGTGGTGGGTTGTGGGGGAGGGGGGAGAGATCTGGGGAAGGGAAGATGTTCCGGAGGCGGTAGGAGAACCAATGCTTTTGGACCCAGCGGTTCCGCTCCGACCCCCAGTGGGCCAGAAGGAATAGATATGGGGGGCTATCAAGGACCCTCCCCCTTGAGGAGGAGGAGTTTCTCCCCTGGATCTCCCTCTCGACTGGGCCTAAATAGACCCCTGTCCACTGTTTCGGGGTCTCGGGGTAGTGAGAGCAGAGACCCTAGGCTCAATTGTGTGGAGTCTCTTGCCCCCTAAAAACTCTTCCTTCTCAGCGCTCCCCAACACCAAATTCCCCCCCAGCATCTTCCTCCACTTAACTTCTCCCCACACCGACACCCCACTTCGCTTCTGATACTTGAGTCCCCACGGGAGAGGTTTCTTGCACGTAGGAAGGGTCCTCGTTCAAGGCGGGGGGGGGGCAACCAGATAGTGTGAATTTCCTGCTGAGTCCAGAACCACCCGTCCCAGCCTTGTGAGGATTCCCGCGCTATCGCCTCATCCATCATCTCCAGTAACGCCAGACTTGAGTGAGAAGCGATTTAGGAGGCCCAGGGTTCAAAGATCTGGAGCTGTGACGTATCTGGAAATACTGCAGAAGGGGGTGGGGATGGCAGTGGTCCTTATCTCGAGTCGTTGTAGCCTCTCAGAGGAGAGGATAATGAGAAATGGAGTCCTCTCCTAGTGGTGGGGAGTCCCTCTCTCCCGGGCCCCTGGTCAGAGACTCTGGCCTCCCTCCCCACCCCACATGCTCCCAATCTGCGCTACTGCAGCCTTCGCCACAATGGATCTGGTCTCACTGGTGGCTACCTTCTGTGCAACTGGGGGTGGGGAGGTTGTTGTTGAGAAATGAATCCCACCCGCTGCCAAACGTTGCCAAGGGCTGGGCTGTCCTCAGAGGCTGACTTCTACGTGTGGTGTCGCTGCCACCAGTTGATTACATCAGCATTGTGTATTATTAATGATAGAAGTAGTCCAGGCAATCTGTCATTTTAAAAAGAACCGAATCGAAGTTGTTTATTGTTACAGGTGATGAAAGTACAGGCAATGTCCTTAACTCTTAACTTAAACACCCTACTCCATCCACTCTCAAACGCCAACCCTTTCTCTCCTCCCCAAACTCCAAACCCACAAATCTTCCTTATGCCCTCCTCCTGCAGAGACTCTTAGTATATCTTGTGACTCCGCCTCTCCAGCCTTCTCATTGGTCCATGCAGAGAGGCTATTAATATTCATGACCTGGGCGGACGCCGCAGGTGTCTAGCTCTGCTAAAAGGCTGATGGAGTAAAAAAAAATTCCACTTACATACACAGAGGGCTTTATTGCAGCCATCACGCGGCTGACTTCAAGGTTTAGAGCCTGGAAGGGTGTCTATTTCGGCTTGAAGAGTTGCAGGGGGAAACCGAGAGTTCTACTGAACATGCACAGAGTGCCTTATTACAGCCAGCGCGTGTCTATCTGGGTTCATGGGAAGACTGAAGGCAGAGGGGTTCTGGATGCCTCTCATTTTATCCTTCACCATCAGCCTCAAAATAAAAGAGGTAAATGGTGTCGCCCTGTGCTGTGTAGGAAAACTCCAGAATTACAGTTTGGGAAATCCATTTATTGGGTCAAGAAAAAAAAAGCAAGCTTTCTAGTCACACGGGGCTCTCTGTGCAGAGTCTCCTGGCAACTGGTGTTAGCCTCCCCGAGATGGTAAACTGGGGAAGATGGGGCCCCAGAGCCCAGCAGGACCCCAAATCGAAGCGGCAAGTTTAGCCTGCTGCAGCTACCAGCACCCTTACTGTCAAGTGTTCGTCTAGCACAATTTTTTTGATGCCTGGAGGGCTATCACCTCCGACTCTTGGGTTCTCACCATCATCACCACCGGTTATGCTACTGAGTTTGATTCCTTGCCTTGCATGAGGTTTCTGAGAGACACGACCTCTTCTCCTATTCTGTGTGAAGAGGTGCAGAAGCTACTCTCTAAGGAGGCCATTGTGTTGGCAGAAAACCTGGACATCCTTGTCAGCTTTTTCACTCGGTACTTTATTATCCCTAAGAAAGATGGTGGCCTTCAGCCCATCCTAGATCTGAGGCCCTTGAATTTCTACATTACGCCGAAAAGCTTCCGAATGGTCTCTCTGGATGCCATCATTCAGATGCTCAGACAAGGGGACTGGTTTGCCCTTGTTGATCTCAAGGACGCTTATTTCCGTATTAGTATATCCGTCCTGAGTTCCCCCAGTTCCTCCTACAGTGGACCCTCTACTTAAGGAATTAATCCGTTTTGGAACGGTGGCTGCAAGTCGAAAAGTCTGTAAGTCGAATCTCCATTGACCTACAATGCACTGAAAACCGATTAATCCCATAACCAGTGGTTTTTATTCTATTTTTATTCCATTTTGGTTTTTTTCTGGTCTGTAAATCGATTCTCTGGCTGCAAGTCAAATCTCGAAAAGTCTGTAACTCGTAAAGTCTGTAAGTCGAGCCGTCTGTAAGTCGAGGGTCCACTGTATTTTCTCTAGGTGGTGTAACCTATGAGTTCAAGGCTCTCCCATTTGGGCTGCCTACGTCGCCAAGGGTATTTACAAAATGTGTTGCCCTGGTGGCTGCTTCCCTCCGACTGCAAGGCATCAGAGTCTTCCCCTACTTAGATGATTGGTTGCTGGTAGCGTCGTCTGCTGAAACGTTGTCTCAAGAGTTTGCCTTCACTTTATCTCTTCTCTCCAACCTTGGTTTACAGGTGAACCTCGCAAAGTCCATTTTGGTGCCTACCCAAAGCGTTACCTACATAGGAGGCGTTTTGGATGCGTTCTCAGGCCGCGCCTTCGTCCCAGATACCTGCATCCTGAAAATTCATCAGCTGCTGCCCCCACTTCACTCCAGGCACAGGAGTCCACTATGAAAATGGATTAATTATGGATGACAAAGGCATTATCACCGTATCATTGAAGATAGGAACTTCTTATCCCAGCAGCTTTACAGGAAACAAAGCTACTCTGACTTTTATACTCTGACCACAGCCCCTTGGATCGGGTCCCACTTCCCCGTTTCATTTTCCTGGGCACCGAACGCAGCCTTGCGCATTGGAAAGTGAAACGGGGGCCTCTCTTGGGCGTCCCTGCACTGCTGGGGTTGGGGTCGGTGGGGGGAGATCCGGGGAAGGAGGGATGTGGGGTGAGCAGGAGAACCCACACCTTTGGGCCCCAGAGGTTCTGCTCATACTCCCCCCCCCCCCCGNACAACAGAGCAAGGGCCCCCTGAGGAGTAAAAGAGAAACAAACTCTTGGCCTGAGCATGTCCCGCCTATCCCCAGACAGACCCCTTTCCACCTCTCTGGGGGTTTTGGGCAGAGCCTCTGGGTCCAAAGGCACAGAATCTCCTGCCCCCTAAAAACCCTTCCTTTCTCAGCCTCTGTTCGAGAGGGAGGGGGGCACCAGAACACATCACACCCCTGCTGAGAGCGGAAGGACCCCTCCTGGCATCCTAAGGCTCCCACCATTATCCCTTCGTCCATCATCTGCAGCCAGATGATGCTTGAAGGGGACCTGTGTTTGATTGCTCATGGTTCAAATCCTGGAGGGCTCGGTTAACCAGGAAATACTTCAGGGTGTGGTTTGGGCAGGGGGCTTCTACTGGCCCTTCTCTTAAGTTGCTTTACTTCCTCGGAGGAGGTGATGAAAGAGAGATGGCGCAATCTCCCCGTGGGAGAAGGGAGCATCTCTCCCCCGTCCCCCGGCCTTTGACCAGACAGGGTGCCCTCTCTCCCCCACTCTCTCGTGTCTCCCATCTGCACCACTGCACCTGTGGCCTCTGTGGCCCTGCTCTTACTGGTGACTCCCTTTCTTTGGTGGAACTGGGACGGACAAAGCCCCGCCCCCGCCTTGGGATTTCTCAGCCAATAAAAATGAAAAATAGAAATGATGCAGCCGTTTATTTATTTAAGAACCCCACTCAGCAAAATCAGGGTTTGGGAAATCCTTTGATTGGGTCATGAAAACATGAATATTCTGATTCCTCGCCCTTTAGGAGAGAGCCTGTAAACGGAGGCTCCCACTTATGAAAACCATGTCCCTCAACTCCCCCCCCAAAAAAAGTTTGTTCATATCTCCTTCCTTCTCTGATGCACTTGAAGCAGAGGCTGCCTTTCAAAGGGCAAGCTTTTTGGTCCCACAGGACTCTTCATCCACAGCCCTCATCCAGTGAATGGCGATGTTGCTCCCTCCTCCCAGAGTCCGTGGATCAAAGAGGATGAGACCCCAGGGCTCAGGAAAGGCTTTGATGAGAAAAGCCATTGAGGGAAGGGGAGGGAAGGTCAGTGGGAAGAAGGAATCCAGTCACGAGAGAGGGAAAGATGGTGGATGGGGGGGGGAGTATAGCCTGTGGAACTCCCTGCCACCATGTACAAGGAAAGCCACTGAGTCAGACACCTTTCCGGGGACGTGAGGCCCATCCTTGGAAAGAGTGAAGAGGTTCCTGGAACCCCCCTCAGTGCTCCAGAAAGGAGGTGTGTGACTGACCCCCAATGGGCCTCATGCGGTGCCTTCCACAGGCATCTCCCTGGAGATCTGGGTGGCTCCTGGAGGGAGGGGATACTGGATGAGGGGGTCCCTTCAGGATGCCTCACAGGTCATGGGGGGAGGGAACTGCTTAAACACCGACGGTCCTGGATTCAACATCAGAATATTCAGACCCCCCCATAAAAAAAACCCTTCTCTCCCAAACTCTTGGGCAACTGCTTCCCATCTTCCTGTACAGCATTATAACCATCACAAGGTAGGAAAACAGGAAAAAGCTAAACAGTGGGAGATGCAGGATGGATGCCAGGAAGGACATATTCTCACAGATGTAGTTAAGCTATGGAACCCCCTGCCCCAAGATGTCTTTATGGGGGTGGGTATCTCTTGGACTGGTTATTGTGATGATTGCCTCAATTCACTCCTGTCACTCATAGTCAGGATCTCATTTGCACGAGCCTCTGAGAGGACTGGAGGGGCGGAGTCAGCAGATATATAAGAGACAGGATAAGAGAAAGATAAGAGAGAGAGATAGAATTTGCAGATAGAGAGATAGTGAGAGAAGGGAGAGAAGGAACAGATACTAATAGAAATAAGCTGGTCACGATAAATAGAGCAGAGGGTGACTGGTTATGTGGCAAGACATATGGTATTTTAATGATTTGATTGTGTACAAGAGAAGACTGGACCCTTTGTGAGGACACAACGCATAGGTGTATCAAAGGAGTAAACGTCGCGATTGGTGACAGCTGGCAGGATGAACATAGCGTGCGCTCTTTGTCTGGTGAAACAAGCAGGGGCCACGTGGTAAACGTCGTCACAGTTATTTTCTCCCAATTGATGCTGCTTGGCTCTTGTTTCCAGCTGTTGAAGGACCCCCAACAGGAGGGGCGTCTCTGCTCAGGTCCTGGGGAAGGCCAACCCAAAGGGACCTTTTTGGGTGGCCAACGGGAAGCGACGCGGCTCCTCTGGTGGAGTTGGGCCCCTGAGTTGGTTGTAAGGCGGATTTCCTTTGCTCACCCGCCTCACAGGGAAAAAAATTCCTTGTCTGCTGCCCTTGCTTAATCCTGCATGGGTTTAATTTCCCTGCGTTGGAACAGGATGAGTCTCTAGGTGGTCCTTGGGTGACCAGCCGACCCTCCAGTTGTGTGAATCCGAGAAGATCGTTTTCCCCATCATGTTAAACTCTCTGACTGTCCAGGGACCTTTTCTCCCCAGGGCAGTTTCTGCTCACCATTTTTTCTCCCCTCCCAGCCTTTTTTTTTTTCACATGAAAAGCAAGGTCAAAACATTTTAAATAAATACATAAGTATGAAATCTCCATCTTTGGCCCCAGGAGTGGAGGGACATCTGCGGCGGGGGGGGGGGGGTTTTCATTTTGCTCCCGGTCAATCTCTGGGGCAATCTCTGGCACAAACACTCATAGTTAAGCTATGGAACCCCCTGCCCCACGGGGCAATGTCTGGTCCATCCCAAGAGAGTTTAATTGGACCCAGGGGTTGTCAGGATTGCACCCTGGGGCCTTTTCTTCTGCATTAGGTGGATTGACTCCATCTTATGCCTTGATCATCTGTGGGATTTTTTTCGCTGGGGACCAGAAACTGCCATGGAGCCCCTCTTCCTTTTCTCATGAGGAAGCCACTGCAAGTTCAGTGCATGGTCAGAATCTGGGCCTGAATCAGTGGGTGGGTCTTGTTCAGAGATAGGGGGAAAGTGAGGCCCACAAGGACCTCCCTGGATTGTGACACAGGCTTTTCTCTCTCGAACAGAAATTTCTCAATAAGGCCCAAGCCTCAGATGGGCAGAAAGACACCAACCTAACCACCCTCCAGTCTTTGTCATGGAAGCCCCCTTTTTTGGCACTCGGCCCCGTGTGGGCACTTTCCAAATGCTGGAATGAAAACTCAACTTATTCAAGGGATGTCCCTTGTGGCGTGTGTGTGAGAGAGAGGGAATGTTCTCTAGCTGAACGTAAAGTCCTCTACCAAGGAAACTAGAAATCGCATCAAAAATATCGGGGTGGTTGGGTGACTCATCTCCCAATTTATATGCAAAAGGTGCTGCTGGGAATTTCTCACACAGGAGATGACTTTGGAGCAAATTCAGGAACTCTTCTGTCCCCCCCCCTCAATTGTAAATCTACCAGGACTTTCTCCTGCTTGGGGCAGTTGGATGGGGGGGGCAGATGATGCTGGAAGCAATCCCAGGCCTGGCTTATGGGTTCCAAATAAGGGAGGAGGGAAGACTGGAGACGTGGCAATGTGGCAGTGGGGGGGGGGGGGGAAAGTAAAAGTCTTTCCTGCAGTGGACGTCCTTCTTCAGGTGGGGTTGCTGCGTGCCCCCCCCCGCTTCCCTTTTGATGCAGCAGCACCAGGCGTCCTGGGGGTGGTGGTGGAGGGCCTTCCTGCCCCCTGCCTTGTCCTCTGGGTGGTGCCTGCTAGGAAAGAGGGCGGGAAGGCCACCTCCAGCTGGGACTCTCCCGCCTCTGCAAGGACTCCGAAAACCCCATGGCTGCTCAGTGAAGGGGGGCTCAAAGGGATGCGGGGGGCCAGCTTGGAGAAAAGCCATTGGTTTTGCACTGTTAGCAGCAGGAACGGCTTTTCTGCTCTTTATTGCACACAGGAAGGCCAGGCATAGACGCCACTGCATTAAACCAACAAGTCCTTGGATCCTGCTTCAAAGCGGGAAAAGGAAATCGTTCTTTCTACCCCGCAAAAGGGGCGCCCCTCATTCATACGCTCCCCCGTTCCTCGGAGGTGACGGGCAGCACCCATTTCCGGCCACCGGCTCTGAACCTGATGCCTCCGCCGACCCACTCCTCTTCCTAGCCCCTTCGGGTGTCCCGTAGCGCCTGCACAACGGGGCCCGCATCGCTGTCCCAAAGGGCCGTCGGGGTCTCCCTTCTTGTCTGAGCAGGGACTGGGGAGGGGGGAATGTGGGACGAGGAGGGCCCCCCACCCCCGGGGCAGGACCTTGTGAGTGAGGGGTCGGGGGGCGGGACGGCGCCCGTCGGGCCAAAGCGGCCTCATCTCCTCCATCACGCGCGGATCCGGCCTCACCTGGACAGCAACCCGTCGGACCCGGGGAAAGGTTTTAGGGAAAGTGTGTGTGTGTGCGTGGGGGGGGGGTCTGCAAGGGCTGAGCCGCATCCCCGGAAAAAGAAAGCGAGCTCCGGCCACCGCCTCCCCCCACTACACACACACACGTTTTGAGAGGGACTCTCAGGGCTCACCCGGGGGGAAAAGAACGGTCGTCTAGCACCGCCCCCTCCACCCTTCGTACCAATCAGGGCTGAGAGGCCAGGCGGCGTCATTAGTCACCAGGCAGGGAAGTCCAGAAACTTGCTCGACGGGGCAGGAGTTTCGGGGGCTCCCCTTCTCCTCCCCGCCCACCACCCCGCCCCCTTCCCTCTCCCGCTGAGGCTTCAGGGTGGGGCAGGTTCGCCTGGCAACTGCCTGGTCAGCGCCCCTGTCTTTTTCCCATTGGACCAGCCTTCCCGGAGATGGGGAGGGGGCTTCACCCCCATCTTCCCTCCTCCTTCTGACGCCGCTGTCCCGGGAAAGCAGAGGGAGCGCTACGTCGAAACCCTCCGTCTCGTCTCGGGATCGGGTGACTCCATCTCTGCCTGCCCGGCCCTTGGGGTCCCGGAGATGGAGCGACCCGCCGTCCCGTCCGCCCGAGGAAGGCAAAGAGGACATACTGCGCGGGTCCTCTGGGCGCTCCTGCTCGCCCTCCTCGCCCCGCCGGCCGCCCTGGCGGTGGAAGGTGAGGGAAGGCGGGTGTGCGCCGTAGAAAGACTGGGGGAGTTGTAGAAAGGGGATCCAAAGGGATATCTGCCTCCTGCTTGGGGGGGGGGGTCGGAGCTCAAGGGGCCCCAGGAGGCAGCTAACGTGGGGTCCCCACCCCACCGTTGGGCGAAGGCTGAGCGTTTTGTTCTGCCTCCCCTCCAAACCTCGCCCTCGGAGAGACTGGGAGACCTCCACGGACACCTCCCTCCTTCCCTTTCCCTGCGTGCGAAATTACAGCAAAGAGAAGCCTAGCCTCCAGTGGGAGGGAGTTCCACAGTCTGGGAGCATCGACAAAGAACTCCCTCTCCTGTGTCCCCACCAAGCCGGCCTGTGAAGGTGGAGGGACCAAGGGGAAGGCCTCTCCGGATCATCTTAATGCCCAGGCATTGTACCATCCCTGTTACCACCCACCCTCTTGCCCGGCTCATCCACACGCTCATATTTTCTCTATCCAGTGGAGGACACTTTCAGAGACCTGGAATTCTTCCAGGAGAGCTTCCCTTCCGGAGAGGAGGCTGGGCAGGACCTACTGGAATTTAACCAGGAGGAGATCCTCCACGTGGATTGGGCCCAGAGGCAGAACGTCTGGAGGCTGCCTGAGTTCACCCACTACGGTTATCAGACACAGTGGGCCTTAGCTAACCTGGCCGTCCTGAAGGAGAGCCTGGAGATCATGATGAAGCGAACCAACCAGACGCAGGCCCAGAACGGTACTTGGGGGAGGGGGTGTCTGAGGGTCTGGGGAGCGCCCCTCCCGCCAATGGGAATCTCTTGGGAATGTTTTCGATGCCAAGTGGAAAGGAAGGCCTGATCAGCCGAGAGGGAGGAGGAAGCCCTTGTCGGACTGACAGCCTGGGTCGCTTGCTGGGGACCCCTGACCTTCTTCTGAGCTCTTCTCTTGGGGGGCAACAATGATCCCTCCCCTCCAGTCTGTTGCCCTTTGCTAAGATGGGGGGGGGGAAGGGACTCTCTTCCCACGGGGACTCCCAAGGGCTCCTGCGTGTCTCCTCTCCCGCACCCACCACGCTTCCCTCTGCCTTTGTGGGCTGAATTCTTTCTTCGTTGCTTCTGCTCAGCCTCTTGAGCCTCTCCTGAATGGAAGTCTAAATGTCTCTCTCCTTTTTCTTCTTCCCTCCTTTTGGAAGAGAAGTCTTGTTTTCCCTCTTTCTCCTTCTTGTTCTCTTGTAATTTCTTTGCCCTGGTCCTTGTCAGAGTTTTCTTTCTTTCTCTGAGACAGTCGGTGGGAAAGCTGCCTGCTGGATCCTCACTCTACTTCGGTCACATTTTTACTTTTCCTTCTGAACCCGCTCCCTCCCGGCGTCCCCCATCTCTCTTCTCCTTCCAGCGCACTTCGTGTTCCAGAGGATCGGCGACTGCTCCTTCCAGTCCAATGGGAGCGAGGCCGGATCGGGGCCAACTCCGCACGTGCGCTTCCTCGACCGCCACTTCTACGACCGGCAGGAGTTTGTCCGCTTCGACAGCGACCGCGGCGAGTTCGAGGCCGTCACGACCCTCGGGGAGCCCGACGCCCGGCTCTGGAACAGCCAGAAGGACCTCCTGGAGGCCGCGCGGAGGGCCGTGGATTTCTTCTGCCGCCACAACTACGGTCTTGCGGAGAGCTTCGCCTCGGGGAGGAAGAGTAAGCGGGTGCCCGCCTGCAGAGAAGGAGGGAGGGAGGGACGAGATTGCGGAGAAGCCACTCTGCCGGTTCCTTTTTCCCTTGGGCGAGAAAAACAAGCCAGCAGAGGGACTCAAGAAAAGTCGCGGCTGTTCTTCTGCCATTTCGAGCTGGCTGGATCCCCTTGAGCTTCCAGAGAGGGAGACGTCGGGCCAGATCAGGCAAAAGGTGTAAAAGTTGGCCCAAGGGGAGTGGCTCCCTAACAGCCTCAGTTGAGGCTTCGCCAAAGGTATCCCTCAAACAAAATAAAAAAGAAACGAAAGGAATCCGGGGTGACTCAGAACCAGCTGGCTGGAGGAGACCAGCAAGCCCGGCTGATGGAGCCGAAAGCAAGTTGTTCTCCTGGCAGGTTTTTCCGGAGGGGCTGAAGATGCAGGCCATGCCTTGAAGGCAGGAGGTGGGGGGATAGTACGTGGGGCAGGGCAGGAAGGTTTAGAAAATCGGGATGGGAGGAAAGGAGACCAAAACCACAGACCAGGATGCAGACACACCCTCCCCTCTGTTCTCCTCTTCCCTAGTTCTTGTAAATTCAGTCTGACCCCAATTTGGGGCTAGAATCCCGTGTCGTGTAAGGCTTTTCTCTACCCCATTTTCTCTTTATTCCCTCTTCAGTTCCACCCAAGCTGAAGATCGTCCCTTCGGAGAACTCCTTGGCTCCCAGCGTTTTGCTCATTTGCACCGTGGACAGTTTTTTCCCCTCGAAGATCAAAATCACCTGGCTCAGAAACGGGAAAGAGGAAGACGAGGCCCGAGTGTTCACCACGGACCTGATCCGGAACGGGGACTGGACCTTCCAGATGGCGGTGATGCTGGAGGCCCAGCCGGAGCGGGGAGACGTCTACGCCTGCCAGGTGGAGCACGCCAGCTTCCCGGAGCCCGTCACCGTCCGGTGGGGTAAGAAACGGACTGAAGTCCACCCTGACATCCGAATCACCCCGCCTGGCCCCCAATCCCACTTCCCCATCATCTGCAACAGAGTGGGGGCCCTCCCCGAACAGAGCAACCACCTTTTCTGTGCTCCAGAAGCCTTCATGACTAGTTTTTGTTTCCTTGTTTTTGCAGAAGCCCAGTCGAAATCCGCCCGGAGCAAGATGTGGACGGGGGTCGTGGGCATCGTGATGGGGGTGGCCTTTGCTGCCACTGGCGTCTCTTTCTACCTAAGGAGCAAGAAAGGTGAGGGGAAGACCTGGACTAGAGAGGGAGGGAGGGATGAGGCCCTTGAGTACGTGATTAAAATCCATCACTCCCCATGATGCTGAGTTCATTTGCAATCTGGTCAGATCCAGCATCCCCTCAGGCAGGAGGGGGGGCATCTCTCTCCCTTCCACCTCATCTCCTATAGGGCATCTCTGGTGCTGTCTCAGGCAGATGGGAACTGTAGTCTGGCAGTACTTTGGAGGGTCCTCCCTGCAAATTTCTGATCTTGGCCTTAATTTCTGATTCAGCCTCCCTGGAAAGCAAGGGAGGAGATTTCCAAATTCTGCCCATTCACTCTGGGGCCTGAAGGTGGGTTTGTTGTAGTTTGGGATACGGTTTTGAGATAGAAGCAACCTTTTTTGTCTAACATCTTTTTTTTTTTAGGTCAAGCCATTCCTCAGCCTGCAGGTAACTTTTCTCTTCTACATTAAAAACACACACACACAAACACACACACACACCCTCCTCCTTCCCCTTTCATCCAGGGTGCTGGTGTTTCCCCCTCCCACCCCCTAGTCCGTTTGTTTTCTTTTCAGCCTTTCAGGATCTGATTAAGATTTTTGGTCTGGAGTCACTGAAGCCCCTTCAAGCCAGGATGACTTGGTGGGGGAAGTGGCAGTAAGGGGAACTCTGGGCGAGAGTGAACCATCTTCTACTAGAATTCTGGATTTCAAAGGAAACCGAAGCAGAGTGTAGCCATACATATATGCTGGTTTTTTAAAAAGCTAATTTTAATAATCTCAAAATTGCAGGATTGCAGCCGGAAATTCATAAACAAATAGTCAAGGAACACTTTACCACCTTTAATGAGCTCAAATCTCCAGGGCCGGATGAACTGCACCCAGGCTGATGAACTCTCAGAACCACTACCGTGTTTCCCCCAAAATAAGACAGGGTCTTATATAAATTTTTGCTCCAAAAATGCATTAGGGCTTATTTTTGGGGCTTTTTTTCATGTACAAAAATCTATGTTTATTCAAATACAGTCAGGTCATCTTCTTCTGGTTGCTGCACAAGGGTGAAGGGCGGGCTTTCTCTTCACTAGGGCTTGTTTTTGGGGTTAAGTCTTATTTTCGGGGAAGCAGGGTATCCATTATTTTCTTGAAATCATGGGAAACGGGGGAGGTACCAGAGGATTGGAAGAGGGCCAGTGTTGGCCCTATCTTCAAAAAGGGCAAAAAAGAGGAACCTGGGAACTACAGGCCAATCAACCTGACATCCAGGCAAAATTCTGGAACAGATCATAAAGCGGTCATTGTGCAAACACCTAGAGAACGGTCCAGTAATAACTAGAAGCCAAAACGGATTGGTCAAGAACAAATCCTGCCAAACAAATTTGATCTCATTTTTTTTCAGGTCACCTCTCTGATAGACAGAGGGAATGCTGTAGACGTAGTATATCTTGACTTCAGTAAAGCTTTTCACAAAGTGCCCCATGATATCCTGATTAGCAAGCTAACTAGGTGTGGGCTGGATAGATCAAGTGTCAGGAAGATACACAATTGGCTACAGAATCGTACTGAGAGGGTGATGATTAATGAGTCTTTCACTAACTGGGAGGAGGTATGGGGTACCCCAAGGCTCAGTCCTAAACCTGGTGCTCTTCAATATTTTTACTAATGACTTGGATGAGGGAGTGCAAGAAATGCTTGTCAGATTTGCAGATGATACCAAAGTGGGCGGAATAGCTAATACCCTAAAGGACAGAAACAAAATTCAAAATGACTTTGATAGGATGGAGCACAGGGCCGAAAGCAACAGAATGGAGTTCAACAGGGATAAATGCAAAATCATGCACCTTGGAAAAAGAAACCAATTGCACAGTTACGAGATGAGGGATACCTGGCTCAGCAAAAGAACAAGCTAGAAGGATCTTGGAATTGTTGTAGATCACAAGCTAAATATGAGCCAACAGTGTGATGTTACAAAAAAGGCAAATGCTACTTTAGGGTGCATTGATAGAAGTAGAGTTTCCAAATCCCGCAAGGTGCTCATCCCCCTCTATTCAGCACTGGTGAGGCTTCACCTTGAGGATTGTGTCCAGCTCTGGACACCCCAGTTCAAGAAAGATGCTAACAGATTGGAACAAGTTCAGAGAAGGGCAACAGGGACGATCAGGGGGCTGGAAGCCAAGCCTTATGAGAAAAGGCTGAAAGAACTGGGCATGTTTATCCTCGAGAAAAGAAGGGTGAGGGGAGATAGGATAGTGCTTTTCTACTCCTAGAGAGGAGGGGCTGGATCTGTTCTCAATCATCCCAGAGTGCAGGACACCCAAGAGTGTGCTCAAGTTAAAAGAAGTCAGATTTTGATTGAATATCAGGGAAAAAAAAAACTTCCTAGCTGTTAGAGCAGAGATGAGATCTCATCCTGATTTTTGCTCTCGGTTTAGCTTTGCTCAAGTCTATAATTTTCCATAAAGAGACCATTTAGAAGACAGGGAGACAGGCCAGGCCCTTTTGAAGGCCGTTGAACCCTCTCCCCCTTTGTGTGCCCCCCTAGAACACAACCTGGTCGGGATTAGTTTTCATGTTTCTCCTTTGTCCTCACCCTATAAACTCAAGCAGGTGGGATTTTAATTTTATTCTCTTCCTTCTTCATCCTACAGCACTCATGAGTTAGACTTCAAGCTCTCTCCATCTGGATCCCAACCTGAGGAGAAGAAATGTCTCTCTTGATTTCTTTCTTCTCACAGAGAAGATGAGAGCATTGAAAAGGGATCTGGAGGATTTGGAGAAAGACTGCTGCAGACCCAAAGACATTCCCGATCCTCTCCCCCGCTCTTCAAAAGCACCAGCTATTGCTTGTATGATTGTTGTGGTTCTGTGTCCTCAATTCACTTCAAATTTATGGCAACTCTCAGATGGAGTGACCTCCAGAATGTGTTGCTATTAACAGCCCAGCTCAGCTCTTGCAAATGCAAGCCTGTGACTTCCTTGATTGAGTCAATCCATCCGACATTTGGCCTTCTGCTCCTGCTGCTTCAGCTTTTCCTGCCATTCTTGCCATGTCTTCTTGATTGCCAGTCAGCAAAGAATGCACCTTTAAAAATTGCCTGTCTTGTATGGATGGCTGATCCTTTCACTGAGTTTTCCTGAAGTGCCTTTTTTTAAAATTGTCAAGACTCCTGTCGCGCTGTGCGTCCTGAAGCCACCATGAAACTCTTTCCTCTGAAAGAATCATACAGACCACACACAAGTTTTGGGGTTCCTGTTGACTCCAGGATGCTCCATTCAACGTGATTTAATTCCTTGCTCTTCCAGCTATCCTCCCCCTGTGGTAACGGCATTGACACCGTTTAAGCAGAAAATTCGGAATAAAGTGAAAAATATCATGGTGTGAAAGGCTGGGCAATTCAATTTGGCATGAACTACCAAGGAGCCTAGCCCGCTTCTTCCGATTGATATATCATTAGGGAAGGATCCAGTTAAAGAAAAATTGTAATAATTACCTTACTTATTGTATATTGCAATAAGTATTGCAAAACATGAGTATCAGATCCAGCCCAAAGCCCTGACCTTCCGCTGATGAACACGGAAGAGCAGGGGGACGTGGACAGACAGACAGATGACAGGTGGGCCCTCTGGTGGCCCCAAACAAGGACGGGTTGGAGAACATCTGGGTGGACTTCCTGCCCTGCCCCTGAAATGCCCGGCCTGATGAGGAGCCCTGTGGGGTTAGTAAGCTTGCCTTTTCTGCACCATTTCTGTAATTCAATAAAGGGATTTCCCAGACCCTGTTTCTGGAATTTGACCCACCACCACATGGTGCATCTTTTCTCTTTTCGTTTTGCTGGCTGATTGTAAAGGATAAAATGAGAGGGCCATGAAAACACACGCACACCACCTTCACTCTTCCCATTAACGCAGGCAGGCAAGTGCCAGCTGTAATAAGGCACTCTGCATATGCTCAGTGAAACTCTCATTTTCTCTCCACCAGTCTTGGAGACAGTCACCCTTCCAGATATTGGACCTTGCAGCTGGCCCCTGAGGACATCCCAGCCCTTGGGAATTTTTTTTGCTGGGGGGGGTAGGTGGGACACCTCAGGAAGAAAGCAATCCCAAGGTGAGTGGCTTTGTGTTTCCCAGTCCCAGTTGCACAAGAAAAGGGGGTCACCAGTAAGACCAGAGCCATGGAGGCCAAGGCTGCAGGTATGCAGGCTGGGAGCAAGAGAGAAAGTCCAGGGAGGGCTGGGTTTCTGATGGGGGGGCCATGATGGAAATGTTCCCCCCCATCACTCCCAGTCACCTCCAAAAATCTGTCCCTTTTCAAGACCTTTAGGCCAGAAGTGATCACCACATCCGGTGGTAAGGAGTTTCACAGACTAACAGCATAGCGCCTTTGATGACTCCTAAAACTGCCTGATTTGGGTTATTGTGATCTGGAGACGAGCTTAGAGGCAACAGTGGGAGGACGCCAGGACAAACAGCCTCCTCCTAACAGGTCGCTCTTCTTCCCTTCCAGGTGATCGGGCAACAGAGGGACACCCCTTTTCTGAAGGCCACCCCAGGGAGATCCTTATGGGCTTCCCTTCCTCCCAACCCTGACCAAGACACACACACACACACAGTGCTCTAAATCAGCTTTTCCTTGAGGGCTGAAAGTTGGGCCTGGTGGGGCACCCCTGAGGTCCCACCCTCACCCACTGGATGCGCCCTCCCTCCTCAACTGCTCCAGTGTCACCCAGTGCTGCTTCCACCTTCTTTCAAACGCACATTCCCTGTTTTTAACAGCAAGGAGCAGAGGAGCTTTTTTGACCTTGTGAAAGTCCTGTTTTGAGAATATTCCCTTTTGTAGAGCCAGGAGGGGCCCCCGAGGGTCACTGAGTCCAGCCTTTTTTAAAATTATTTTTTATTTTTCCAGTTGCATGTGATGTGGCAGAGGGACCTTCATTTTGAAGAAAGTGCAAACATCCAACATCCCCTGCCAGAACACGCCCTAACAGAAACCATCACCCCCTTGGCCCTTTCCTTCCCCCTAAACGTTGACCTGTGCCTCCCTTTTCTTTAAGCGACAGGATTGCTCACTTCGGCTCCTTGCCCTGTAATGGAAGGAATCCTCAAGTACATATTTGATCCCTGCCTCTGCCCTTCCCTCCGCCAGCCTCCTCAGGAAGGAGATGAGAGGCCCGAGTCACAACGTCTGCACCAAGTGGGAGAAATAATCTCTTTTATTCATTAAATCAGTCCCGTGGGATCCGTGCAATCTCTACACTGTCTTTCTTATCTGTTTTTTTAAATACGTACACATAAACAAATGTAATAAACGGTTGTCCAGATGGACTTGGTTTTTATTGTTCTTCTACCTGTTCTTGAGGGTAGCTTAACGACCTTGCTGCTCCAAAAACAATGTTTATATCAGGATCTCTTATTCTATGGCTGCCTCTTCCCTCAAAGCTTGAATTGGTATTAGGATAATACCTGGTGGCAGCGAGAAAGGCGAGTTTACCTTTGCAGAGCCCAAAGAAATAAAGGGCGCAAAGGGGGATCGCCAGAGGGAGGTTTTAGAAATAATCAGAATTAGGAAGGATAGCGTTCCTAAAGTCCGAGCAACTGCTCAAAAACGAAGGGCCTCTTTGTTCGCGGGTTGGTTAATCCCAGCTATGCTCCGATCAGCAGGTGCTGGCCCATTCCCGGGTCTGGCGATCTGCAGGTAGGAAGTGGCTCTCGCCTTCCGAGGATGATGGAGACCCTCACCCTTTCCTTGTGCTTTCTGCTCCTTGCAAAGTCTCCAGGCAGGTGGGAGGGGGAGGAAGAGAGAGAGAGAGAGAGAGAGAGAGAGAGAAGGAGCAGAGATGGAGCGCAAGCACCTTTCCAGCGGGAGAGAGGGAAGCGTCTCCTGCACGGAACACCTCCGTTCACCTGTTTCTTTTTCTCAACCCAAAGGGCTCAGGCTGGTGACCTTCCCTCTCTCTTTCGCGGCCACCAGTGGATTTCTTTATCCACGCTGGTAAGGACCTTAATCTGCCAACCACAGAACTGGTTTATTAAAGGATATTAGGGTAATTCAGATTCCAGCGGGAGAGAGGGAAGCGTCTCCTGCACGGAACACCTCCGTTCACCTGTTTCTTTTTCTCAACCCAAAGGGCTCAGGCTGGTGACCTTCCCTCTCTCTTTCGCGGCCACCAGTGGATTTCTTTATCCACGCTGGTAAGGACCTTAATCTGCCAACCACAGAACTGGTTTATTAAAGGATATTAGGGTAATTCAGATGTTCTTTATCCATTTCATAGAATCAAAAGCATTGAAATGTCATATATTCTGCCACACATTGAATTACTTCCTGCTTTATTTATTCACTTTAACCAGCTTATTTTATTTGTTACAGTTCTCACTCTTTCCCTGACTCTCCTCTCTCTCTCTCTCTCTCTCTCTGCAAACCTCTCTCTCCTCCTCTTTTCTCCTTCACTCTCTCTAAGTGCCCTGATTGACTCCCTGACTCCACCCCTTCTGTCTTATGCAAACGAGCTGCGGCTATGAGTGACAGGCCTGACGTGGGGCATCCGTCACAATGATCACCTAAGAAAAGAGCCATCAAGAGAGAATCACCGCCGTTAGAGTTAGCTGGAAAATACCAGCACCTTAGGTGCAAGCCTTTTTCTGTAGCTTGTGCTGCACCGGGAATCCATCTTAAAAGCGTGACTCTTTTTTTTTTTTTTTGCCTTTTCCTTTTAATAAAGTTATCCTTTGGAGAAGATGTGGACAGAAGGACATAGTGGACCCGTGAGGACAGCTCCAGACGCAGATAAAAGTTACACGAAAATGTTCTCAGAACCAGAGAACTCCAGGAGAGACTCAAAGGAGAGGACCCCCCCCCTCCACATTGGCCCTGGCGGCGAAGAGAAGGCAGCTTGCCGGAGGGGCCCCTTGCTCTGAAGTGTAAAGCCTGCAGAGCAGGCAAAGGCCCTCTTTGGAGTTCGTGTTGCCAGGTTCTCACCTAACACGCAAAGCAGCCGAAGGGGGAGGGAGTAAGCCCCCCAAAACAGAGATGCCTTAAATATGCAGGGAGAGGGTTGAGACTCCGGGAGAGGTCGGGGCGATGGGAGGAGTGGCGGGAATCAGGGGCGCTCCCCTCGAAGACAGAGGGAGAGGGGAAAGGGGCTCCGAGAAGGGAAGGAGTCCCGGTTTTAACTCTGACGTGTAAGCGCGGAGCTTGACCCGAATGAATTCATGCGTGTTGAAGCCCTCGATCCGAAGGAGCAGCGTGTCCTCTCTTCTAGCTCCTTTGTAGCCGGATTTAGGCTTTTTGCCTTGAACTTTGAAACCTTTGAAGCTTCGCAGTTTTGTATCTCTCTACCCTTCGCGCTTACTTTTAATGAAGTTACTCTTCCAGAATAGACGCCTCTCGGTCTGGAGACCCTGCGCTGGCAGGGCTGCTTGGATTAACTCTAGCCCCGGAAACCCAGCCCTCGGTTGGCGTTCCCTGCGCACAAGGACGCCTCGGAGCGTGTGCAGAGTGCAAAGGCTTGGCACCCAGAAGTGAGCGAAAGAGGCGCGTCGTGGGGTGGGGGGGAGGTAGGTGCCCAGACATCCGGAAACGAGTCCGAGGCAAATAGCGGGCGGGGACAGGAACCGGCGGGGCCAAGCGCTCTCTGGCGGAGGGCAAAGGCTCAGAGACCGCCAGGAGAGACCCCTCGCCTGGGGAATCTTGCCCAGCGCATGTGCAGAGTGCAACAGATTAACTGCATCTAGATTAGGGGAGTGGGGCCAGCCAACTGGCTTGACCGGAAAGGCTCGAGGGGTCCTCGGCAGCGCCCCCCCGACCTGGCGGCGAAGGCCGCGACTGGCCGGATCGCACCCCTCCGTAACCCCTCCACCCGCATTCCCGCATTCCTTCGCAACTCCTAAATCCAGCTGGGTGCGCTCAGAGGCCGGCTTGACCCTGAGAGTGACGCTCCAGAGAGTGACTTCGGGGGCGGGAGGGGGGAGTGCGCCACAGGATCGCCCCCAGAGGCCCCACCGCTAGCCTTCAACTCCCTGGTCACCCAACAAGAAGGAAACCTTCCACTCCCACCCCTCCACCTCACCCCCTTGGACATACACCTTCCCCCGAGGCTAGTGTCATTAAGACCCGGCTTCCCGATATTTGGGG